CCTGATACTACTGACCACCCATTGTTACCACTGACCACCCACTGATACCACTGACCACCCATTGATACCACTGACCACATAGAGATACTATTGACTACACAGAAATACCACTGATACCTCTGACCACACACTGATAGCAATGACTATCCACTGATACCAATGACCACATAGAGATACCACTGACCACCCACACTGATACTACTGACCATATAGAGATACCATTGACTAAACAGAAATACCACTGACCACCCACTGATACCAATGACCACATAGCGATACCATTGACTGCAGTGATACCTTTGTCTACATATAAATTCCATGACAACACAGAAACCATTGAAAACACAGAAACCATTGACAACAAAGAGGTATCATTGACAACACAGATTAACACATGTTAATTTCATGGGGATGATATTTTCGCTACTTCGTGGTACATTAATGTGATCGCGAAAAATTCATCCGTGAGATATGGGACATTCGATCATTTTGTAACAAAATCGCAAAAATTCTGACTGTACGGTATGAACAGCGAGATAGATGTCTCCCAATGTTATAAAACCACTCCAGGAATAACGTCTTTCAAAACAGATGAGGTGTACAAACCCAAATCTCTTAATTTCAAACCTTGTAATTACTTGGTGTTTCTACATGTTACAGTGCGTGGTTGTGGAGTAAATATCGATATAGTTTCAAATGTCCACAGTTTGTAGACTAAAATAGCTATACTGGTTTCGTCTGTATATAGATTTACAGATTTGATAAATGGTTCATAGATAAGTGTTTCCCAAGATAAGTAAATGTTGATATGTCAAGAAGAAAGTTTAATTGATCGGCTAGACGACTTTCATATACAAAAGCATACATTCTGGAAGTATGTCTTCCGAGCTTGTATTTGTTCTCATTATCACACAATAATTCAGCACGCGCCAAATCTCCACGGATGTTAGACGCCGGCTACCGGTGAGATTGGAAAGTACTTGAACAGGGTAGAGAATTCAGTGGCTAGAGAAAATAATTAATTCTTTGCACACGTTATATCCTGTTTACTTTAACAAGATGGTATCGGAAATACTCGGTCCGATACATCAAAGCCATCGACATCCTCGCGTACATATCACTCATACAAAGTCATGTAAATCATTTCTCAGATTCGTTGAAAAAGAAAAGTTAAAAGATATTTGAATATTGTGTGATTCATCGATGACTAATGTAGAAATATTTGCAACTGTAGCAATTTCGATAGCCAAAAAAAGTGACAAAAAGGGAAGGAAAACTCCCAAGTATAAAAAGCCGTTAAATTGTTTTGAGGAAAAAGACGTTTTCCTCCTATTACACAGGAAGAGTGTTATATTAGTGTACATCTGTTGCTGACAGTCTGATGGGAACCTCCACATATCCCACAAAGCACGCTCTTAAAGCGACGAAAAACTCCACCTAATGTTTACACAAGATTCATAGTATATGCCTGTTTCACGAGGGGGCGTAACCCCAAGGTTTCACTCTATTGCATGGGATGCCGAGAAAATGTGCACATGCATCTTTATCCCAGCTTACAATTGCATCCATTTCTCAAAATAGAAACACTCCATGAAACAGCTTGATGCATATTAGATTTTGAGTACCACTTCTATCTTCAGTTGAACACTGTATTTACTGGGGGGGATCAATTTTTTTTTCTCTTCGTATTCATATAAAAACGGTTCGTATTGCTTGAAATAGAATTATTTCATCTGATAAATAGCGTTTACCCATGATACGGTAAGAGAACGAAGAACAGCATGGTGTTTGTTATCTATGGTGGAGAAGAATCCTTTATTATATTTAGCACTATTCATATAGAGTGATTGGTTTTAAATGGGAATCAAACTTTTCGTAAAGCACCACAATGTCTTTAACCATGACATCATAACTCGGTCAATTACCGGTACGTGCTGAATGAGATTTATTGGTCAGTTCTACAGTTTACTTGTTTACTTATTTCTTTATTGGGTTCGATCGCCCCGTTAATAGCCATGGTCATTGTGAGATGAGTTCATATTAACTGGTGGTTGGTTCACTGAACATAATAAGGAAGGCCCGTCTCATGCCATGTAGAGCAATTAGGACACAGCAACAACAAACGTCGAGTCTTCGTCTAAGGTATTTTTTTCTTACAAAACGTCAATTTTAGTACCTGAAATTGATACATACGAATATTTACACACAAGAGTAGCAAATGCATATTGAAATTTATATGCATTTATTGATACATATACGAATGTCAAATCACATTCCACATACATTTGAAACTCACATTCAAGCTCAAAACCACACACTTCACTCAAAAAATCACAGTGATATTTGAAGTCAGACACATCTGTACATGGAATAAAGGAACGTTTTATCGCCCACGCTATCGTGGCCCTTTTTACAGAGATGGAAGTCTTCAGCTGATTGGCTGATTGAAGATTTTTTATTTAAACATATTTTATTGCACATAAGTAGCAATATGATTGGGCACAAGTTCTACAACTTATATACAGCCCCTTCCAAAGATATTAATACACACACATTATATTTACAAGGTGGCAGCATGATATGATAACAAACAATTATAAACAAGTTAAGAGAGAGAGAGCGAGAGAGACAGAGAGAGAGAGAGAGAGGATAAGGGGGTGGGGGGAGGAGGTGTATAACACATAACACATACTTTGTATGTTGAGAATACTTTGTATATCTGTATATTATGCATGCCTATACCCACATTTTGTCAATATCCATCACTTCCCTTGATTTAAAACTTTCTCTCTCTCTCTCTCAGAAAATAGATAATCCCAAATATAGCCTCCACTTGAAATGATGATAAGATTCAGCCGTTGTTAAGACATTCCATTTTCATCTCTGCCATAATAGTTATTGAAAAATAAATGCTGAAGAGTTTTTCAACAGTTTAAATATTTCATCGTACGCGAAATTATGCGAAAATGCATACGTATCAGTCTCAATTGCAGCATCTATATTAAATTCATCGATCATCGTATAATTTGATTTTCGAACAGATTCAATCCCAATATATCGGTGAAATTTCCGGCAATCTTCGGATTTTTGTTTTTAGTTCGATGATTTCCGGTGATTTCGATATCGAGTTGTTCTAAAGTAATATTTTCTAATCATGTAGAGGATTCATATCGTAAGTATGCATCAGCCGAAATCAGGTGTCCTCTTTCACGCCGGAACGACAGAAGATACTCCGACAGAAGTGTTGATTTTATATATTTGTGTTTGGAATAATAAATTTTGCTTTTTTGACATTTATTTCTTCGGGTCTTGATAAAAGTAATACACAGGTGTCTTAAGTACAATTCATAATTCAGGAATCACTTGATATTGAAGTCTTTTATGTTTAAATGCCTGCTTATTTTCCGCAATCTTTCTTTCGCAATTAAATTGAAACAAATAAGAATTATCAATAAATATGTATTATCATCGTAACAAATGACTGTTGTTTATTTTTTTCTGCCTTGTGCTTAATCACTGTAAAATTGTATCAGTTTCGTATTAAGGTGGACATGGTACGCAGCTGTATAATCCCCCAGTACTCTGTGTGTAGCTGAGGAGTTATGACATTTCAGTCGTTCTAACATGCTTACATACAGAACTGTGAGAACTTCTTAATCACAGAACACATTTTGTACTTGATTTATTGTTAAATGATGTTTGAATATAAAGACTTAAATTCCAATTCATAAATCCGCATAGACCAGTACGTGATGATAAGGGAACCCGACCTTTAAATTAAGCCGACCACAGCCAGGTGGGAGAATAACAATGTTTGGCGTATTACCAATTGCTGGTTTTGCTTGATATGCTTCTCTTTTGTAACACCTGTATTTCACCTGTGTGCCTATTCAGCTGCTTTGTCTGTGTGGTTAATTTCAATCATCTATCTACTATCTACCATCACCGACCCCCTCCATAGAAATAGTAATCATCATGCACAGCGAAGGTTTTCGCTAAGTGTATTTGGCATTTACAGATTCACGTCAATACACACGAGTTAGTCACATCTAGTCTTTAAAATTTATAATTCGACATAACATCTTGGATACAAAGGTGCGAAGTTAGGTAGTGAAACATAGAATTGAAACCCAAGGTTCTAGACCGTATCTTGTCAGTGTGTAAAACTTATAAAATAAATGCTTAATCTAATTATCAAATACTTTAAACAGACACCTTCATACTGGAGAATCCTGTGTCGCCTACTCCGAGATAACGTGAAGAATATCAATGATTATAAACATACTTCACATATTTCTTGGTACACCATACACTACTTAATTGTCTGAAACCGAATTTCACACCCTGACCTGATACAACAACTTTGAGATAAAACAAATGTCTCCATTAATGAAACCCATGTCCCCATCATTTGGCAGGAGGGTAACGATATGACCCCCACATGTGCGCTGTGAATTCCTGAGTTGACGGCGCAGGTGCTATACCCTGGCTAAGAGCAGGCTGGCGGTGAAACGGGGATCACGGCGTATTGGTGTGTATTTTACAGTTTAATACGCGCTCCTTCATTTGGAGGTTTTCTACATACATAAGAGACACTTGTAGTTACTCTCCGATATACACAGTAGGGTTAGATCATAACCCACGGGACTTTATACAAACACTGCGGACTTAAACATGATCTGAATTTTATATATATACAAGGATCCCTATGTCACCTGGTACACACAGTAGGGTACGCTGACCGGGAGCCCGGAAAACCTATGTCGGACGGTTCTTTAGGGCATGCGGCAAGTGATTGCACCTCCCCTGTATAATAGACCCGCTAAGGAACAGTGCAGATTTTGTCTGGTTGAAAGGAATTGAATGCGCCAACATTTGGAGTCCCATTGCCTGAAGCAGGTGCTCGAGTTTTTAATGAGTAATGAGTTGTGATTGTGTTAAATAGTGTTTTTATTAAGTATTGCACCTTCCAGTGTTATTTCTGAATTGTAAACATAATGGATGTTAGAACAAACGTGATGAAGGTATTAACTGTTCTGTTGGTGGTGTTTGTGATGGACATTAAGGCACAGGACAGAATGCGACAAAGACATGCTTGGCAGCAGGACAGGAGTAGACGGCCGCAGCTCAGAGGGTGAGTAAAGACCCTTCAAGGGGCGAAACAGTCACAATTAACTGAACGGAAACATGTGTCGACCTAGTAGGTTATATAGTCTGTGTTAGACTTCAGGTAAGTGTCAACACAATAGGATACAAGGTTAGGCGTCTTTTCACCGTGCAAAAGCATGGGCAGGCGTCAATACAGGAGGTTAAAGGCAAATCGTCAACGCAGTTTATGTTAAAACTGAAACAGGCACCATGCGTCAACGCAGTTGGTTAGAAACGCGACATTCAACTCAACGAGTAAAGTGACAATAATCAACAAAAATATCAATAGCAACAGACGTCAACTCCTGGCGCAATAATGACAAACTTCACCTCATTGTGTCACAATGACAGAAGTCGATTAACAGTGTATAGAGACAGATGTCAACTTTCGGTGAAATCGTGTCAAGCGTACACCCATTGTGTCAATAGCGATAGACGTCTACTAGAGATTTATACAGACAGGTTTAATAACAATATCAATCGACACACATCATCTCTAGGTGCAGTAGAGACTTGCGTCAACTCCAATAAAAGAGAAATACTGGCACACAGCTCTTAGTAGAGGTTTTCAACAGAGACAAATGTCAGATAGGTGTCAAGAAAGAAAGATATGTCAAATCAGTTTATAAATATAATCGTCAGCTTCGTGTATCAGTATACAGTAGAAGTCGTCAACTTAGCGTCAGTAGCGACAAGCTTCGTCTCAAAGTTTTGACAGAACCTGGTGTCGAATCGGTACCTTAACACCTAAGACATGCGTCAACTCGATCAAGGCATAGTTAGAATAGGCGTTAATTCATTGTGTCAACAGGAACAAGTTTCATGTTAGTATGTTAACAGAGAAGGTCAAGTCCAGCTGATAATTTCAATTTAATATTTTTCGGTACCGTAGAGACATAGACGCGTTTTGGTATGGGAGGGTTGGACGTTCGGTCTGGGTACACGTGATTCCACTAGTAAATGAAACAGACTGTATACTTGTTTATATATACATTTATATATTATGAATAACGACTGACAGTTGTGTCCAGCTCGTCGACATGCTTTATTTACTGTGTACCATATTTACCTTGGATGGCAACTTCCATCGGTCCAGTTCGTTACATAAGACGTATAGGGCTGCAAGGTAGTGTAAGCTGTGTAAAGGTGTAGCAGGATAATATAGACTATGAAAAGAGGTAGGGTATCGTAAATGTTGTACAGCGACTGTTTCGCACAGACTGAAAACGTGTAGGGTGTTGTAGATGTTTTACAGCGACTGTGTCGTACAGACTGAAAACGTGTAGGGTGTTGTAGATGTTGTACAGCGACTGTTTCGTACAGACTGAAAACGTGCAATGTGTTGTAGATGTTGTACAGCGACTGTGTCGTACAGACTGAAAACGTGTAGTGTGTTGTAGATGTTGTACAGCGACTGTTTCGTACAGACTGCAAACGTAAAGGGTGTTGTAGATGTTGTACGGCGACTGTGTCGTACAGACTGAAAACGTGTAGTGTGTTGTAGATGTTGTACAGCGACTGTTTCGTACAGACTGAAAACGTGTAGGGTGTTGTAGATGTTGTACAGCGACTGTGTCGCACAGACTGAAAACGTGTAGGGTGTTGTAGATGTTGTACAGCGACTGTGTCGCATTGACTGAAAACGTGTAGGGTGTTGTAGATGTTGTACAGCGACTGTTTCGTACAGACTGAAAACGTGTAGGGTGTTGTAGATGTTGTACAGCGACTGTTTGGTACAGACTGAAAACGTGTAGGGTGTTGTAGATGTTGTACAGCGACTGTTTGGTACAGACTGAAAACGTGTAGTGTGTTGTAGATGTTGTACAGCGACTGTTTCGTACAGACTGAAAACGTGTAGGGTGTTGTAGATGTTGTACAGCGACTGTTTCGTACAGACTGAAAACGTGTAGTGTGTTGTAGATGTTGTACAGCGACTGTTTCGTACAGACTGAAAACGTGTAGGGTGTTGTAGATGTTGTACAGCGACTGTTTCGTACAGACTGAAAACGTGTAGTGTGTTGTAGATGTTGTACAGCGACTGTTTCGTACAGACTGAAAACGTGTAGGGTGTTGTAGATGTTGTACAACGACTGTGTCGTACAGACTGAAAACGTGTTGGGTGTTGTAGATGTTTTACAGCGACTGTGTCGTACAGACTGAAAACGTGTAGGGTGTTGTAGATGTTGTACAGCGACTGTTTGGTACAGACTGAAAACGTGTAGGGTGTTGTAGATGTTGTACAGCGACTGTTTGGTACAGACTGAAAACGTGTAGGGTGTTGTAGATGTTGTAAAGCGACTGTTTCGTACAGACTGAAAACGTGTAGGGTGTTGTAGATGTTGTACAGCGACTGTTTCGTACAGACAAAAAAACGTGTAGTGTGTTGTAGATGTTGTACAGCGACTGTGTCGTACAGACTGAAAACGTGTAGTGTGTTGTAGATGTTGTACAGCGACTGTTTGGTACAGACTGAAAACGTGTAGTGTGTTGTAGATGTTGTACAGCGACTGTTTCGTACAGACTGAAAACGTGTAGGGTGATGTAGATGTTGTACAGCGACTGTGTCGTACAGACTGAAAACGTGTAGGGTGTTGTAGATGTTGTAAAGCGACTAGGGTGTTGTAGATGTTGTACAGCGACTGTTTGGTACAGACTGAAAACGTGTAGGGTGTTGTAGATGTTGTAAAGCGACTGTTTCGTACAGACTGAAAACGTGTAGGGTGTTGTAGATGTTGTACAGCGACTGTGTCGTACAGACTGAAAACGTGTAGGGTGTTGTAGATGTTGTACAGCGACTGTGTCGTACAGACTGAAAACGTGTAGGGTGTTGTAGATGTTGTACAGCGACTGTGTCGTACAGACTGAAAACGTGTAGGGTGCTGTAGATGTTGTACAGCGACTGTGTCGTACAGACTGAAAACGTGTAGGGTGTTGTAGATGTTGTACAGCGACTGTGTCGTACAGACTGAAAACGTGTAGGGTGTTGTAGATGTTGTACAGCGACTGTGTCGTACAGACTGAAAACGTGTAGGGTGTTGTAGATGTTGTACAGCGACTGTGTCGTACAGACTGAAAACGTGTAGGGTGTTGTAGATGTTGTACAGCGACTGTGTCGTACAGACTGAAAACGTGTAGGGTGTTGTAGGCAGTGTGAATGTATGAGATAATGTAGATTGTAAAGGTGTAGGATAGTGTAGACTGTTTGTAGATGTTAGATTGTAAAGGTGTAGGATAGTGTAGACTGTTTGTAGATGTTAGATTGTAAAGGTGTAGGATAGTGTAGACTGTTTGTAGATGTTAGATTGTAAAGTTGTAGGATAGTGTAGACTGTAGATGTTAGATAATGTAGATTGTAAAGGTGTAGGATAGTGTAGACTGTTTGTAGATGTTAGATTGTAAAGGTGGAGGATAGTGTAGACTGTTTGTAGATGTTAGATTGTAAAGGTGTAGGATAGTGTAGACTGTTTGTAGATGTTAGATAATGTAGATTGTAAAAGTGTAGGATAGTGTAGACTGTTTGTAGATGTTAGATTGTAAAGGTGTAGGATAGTGTAGACTGTTTGTAGATGTTAGATTGTAAAGGTGTAGGATAGTGTAGACTGTTTGTAGATGTTAGATAATGTAGATTGTAAAAGTGTAGGATAGTGTAGACTGTTTGTAGATGTTAGATTGCAAAGGTGTAGGATAGTGTAGACTGTAGATGTTAGATAATGTAGATTGTAAAGGTGTAGGATAGTGTAGACTGTTTGTAGATGTTAGATTGTAAAGGTGTAGGATAGTGTAGACTGTTTGTAGATGTTAGATAATGTAGATTGTAAAGGTGTAGGATAGTGTAGACTGTAGATGTTAGATAATGTAGATTGTAAAGGTGTAGGATAGTGTAGACTGTAGATGTTAGATAATGTAGATTGTAAAGGTGTAGGATAGTGTAGACTGTAGATGTTAGATAATGTAGATTGTAAAGGTGTAGGATAGTGTAGACTGTAGATGTTAGATAATGTAGATTGTAAAGGTGTAGGATAGTGTAGACTGTAGATGTTAGATAATGTAGATTGTAAAGGTGTAGGATAGTGTAGACTGTTTGTAGATGTTAGATTGTAAAGGTGGAGGATAGTGTAGACTGTTTGTAGATGTTAGATTGTAAAGGTGTAGGATAGTGTAGACTGTTTGTAGATGTTAGATAATGTAGATTGTAAAGGTTTAGGATAGTGTAGACTGTAGATGTTAGATTGTAAAGGTGTAGGATAGTGTAGACTGTTTGTAGATGTTAGATTGTAAAGGTGTAGGATAGTGTAGACTGTTTGTAGATGTTAGATTGTAAAGGTGTAGGATAGTGTAGATGTAGGATAGTGTAGACTGTTTGTAGATGTTAGATTGTAAAGGTGTAGGATAGTGTAGATGTAGATGTTAGATTGTAAAGGTGTAGGATAGTGTAGACTGTAGATGTTAGAATGTAGATTGTAAAGGTGTAGGATAGTGTAGACTGTTTGTAGATGTTAGATTGTAAAGGTGTAGGATAGTGTAGACTGTTTGTAGATGTTAGATAATGTAGATTGTAAAGGTGTAGGATAGTGTAGACTGTTTGTAGATGTTAGATTGTAAAGGTGTAGGATAGTGTAGACTGTTTGTAGATGCTAGATAATGTAGATTGTAAAGGTGTAGGATAGTGTAGACTGTTTGTAGATGTTAGATTTTAAAGGTAGAGGATAGTGTAGACTGCTTGTAGATGTTAGATAATGTAGATTGTAAAGGTGTAGGATAGTGTAGACTGTTTGTAGATGTTAGATAATGTAGATTGTAAAGGTGTAGGATAGTGTAGACTGTTTGTAGATGTTAGATTGTAAAGGTGTAGGATAGTGTAGACTGTTTGTAGATGTTAGATTGTAAAGGTAGAGGATAGTGTAGACTGTTTGTAGATGTTAGATAATGTAGATTGTAAAGGTGTAGGATAGTGTAGACTGTAGATGTTAGATTGTAAAGGTGTAG